AAACTTGAAGGAAAGCTTAAGTGGTGGGTTTGGTCTGATATACATTTCTTCAATTAACTCCAAATTATATATAGTTTACTCCCAAATAAATATAAATATTTATTATTTCGAACATTTACATCTCACATTTAATATTCACACCTACAAAATATTATATATATATATATATATATATATATATATATATTTCGATTGATTTTGATTATAATAAAATAAATATGGCTTAATTTAATATATTAATATATTAATATTTTTTTTTAGAATAGAAAAATGGGAAGAAAAAAAAAACATCTCTTCACATGATTTGGAGAAGCTAGAGAAGAAAAGCATTTAATTAATCCAATTAATAAATCCACCCTTAAAAAAAAAACCCAATAATCTTTAAAAAAAAAGAAAAAGAAAAAGAAATTGTTTTTGTTTTCATCAGCACCCTCCTAAACCAATCCCACCCACGTGTCAACACGTTGACCGTTGATTATCAAACTGTCAAGTGGACCCCACCGCAAAACATCCCAAGTGAGAATTGGAAGCAAATCACGTGAAGGAAGTCCATTTTGTTAATTCAACTTACAGCCAGCTCCGTCTCCGTCTCCGTCTCCGTCTCAGCCATTCGCGGCGGAGCTTCTTTCCCTGAAGACGGCGGCGCCGCCCCATTCTGATTTTGCTTGCTTCCCATTTTGTTCAAACTTTGTTGATGATAAACTTGCCTTAATCTCTCTATTTCCTTCCTTAATGCCTCTTGATGAGCTGAAAAAATAAACACAATTTATCATTCATTAATTAACATTTTTCTCTAATTAAATTACCAAAAATAATAACAAATTACCATCTTTGAAAATCTTATCTTGAGCCAAAGCTGCAATTCTCTGTTTAAGAGCACTATTATCAACATTAAGAATCAATCTTTGATGATCCAAAAACGCCACTCTTGGGGACAATGCTGAAACTTCTGTCTAAAATCACAATCACAAATATTAAAATAAATTTTTACAAAAAGAAAATTAAAGAGAAGAATTTAAATAATCCATACCTGTAATGTCGTTACACTTCTCTCCAGATCACAAATGTATTGTAATTTCCTGACTCTCGACCTTTGTGCTGATTGTCGATTTGCTAAAATTCTAACACCCAAGAAAAACCCACCCATCAATCGTTAATATAGTTACGTTATTTATGACGTGGGGTCATTCATGCACTGATTATACCATAAAGTTGACATCTTTTGTAGCTATATCAGTTCATGTGTTATGGGTATTTGTGGTTGATTTTATATTATTTATGTTTAGATACAAATTTGAAATTAAATTTTAAAAAAATTGATTTTGAGATGCGTTCATGTGATTAATTACCTCTTAACTCGTTTGGGATCAATGGTGTTATCACCGCCGGCGGAAGACGGCGGCGGAGGTTCAGATTGCTGCTCTAATTGGCAAGAGGAGCTTTCGACCTCACCCGGTTCATTCTTTAATTGATGCGGCGGCGGAGGTTCCGACGGCACTGTCGTCGTCTTTTCAACGTTATTACTATTCTGGTCGGAGGAGGACGAAGGGTTTGACGACGCTGGAACCGCCACGGAAATGTCATCGGAAAACATCGACATAAGCTGGTCGTCGTCAAGCCGGTCAAACGTCGGAGTAGCATGCTGTACGGCGACGGCAACAGTGGAGGAGGAGGAGGAGGAGGAGGAGTTACGACATTCATCAGAAAATGGGGTTTCGAGAAAAGCAATGGAGTCGCTAATGGATCTCCGGTGAAGGCCACGGCGGGCAGTGGAGAAGTCGAGAAAGTCGTCAACCCATGAAGGGTTATGGTGGGAAGCGGCGGAGGATGGCGGCGGCGGAAGGGAATGAGATAAATTATGCATTGTAGGCCAATTTTGAGGGAAAGAGGGTATTTTTGGGGGCAATTGTGCCATAAGGGAATTTTGGACACTCAAAATGGGTGAGGAGTATGGGTTTATAATGATATAATCAAAACGGTGTGGTTTGTTAGAATCTCGTCTTTAGATGATCACTAATGAGGTCGATCAGAGGTTATAGTCTCTTAATAATTCACACCCACGTTTGTTACAATATTGTTATCTTTTAGTAATTGTTGACGTTGATTAAAAATGTACGAGCTTTCTTACTCCTAATTGTGCAAGATCGACATATACGTTGCGACCGTTTTCGTAAATAACTATATCGGAATAATATTTTATTTTTTTATAAATTGAAATTTCACTTTCATATAATTCAAGAGCCCCAAAGGTATAGGAAGAAGGAAAGTGGGTCACATGGGGTGGGATTAGGGACAGCTAGCAACAGCTGTGTGGAGGGAGGGGTTAATGCAACTTTGGCCATTTTTATTTATTTTATTTAATATCAAAATTCTATAATAAATATAAAAATTAAAATATATTCATCACACACCACGTCCCAATCCCAATGGGTATCCCTCTCTGTGTAAAGAGAGAAAACAAAACATTTTTTATAAGGGTATGTAAATTTCTCCTAGTAGACATATTTTAAAATTATGAGGCTAATGACGATACGTAACAGACTAAAACAGACGACGGTGGGTTTGAGCTGTTACACGTTAAAATTCTAAATTTTTTAGATGAGGTGAACATAGTTTAACACTAATTGACATTCTAATTTTTGAGATAAAGTGAACATAGTTCGGCCATTTCTTTAAAATCGAAGATTTTAATCTCACTGTATGTTGTATTACAAAAATTCTCATACTTTTATGATGATAATAGTATATATCTGCTTAGATTTGATACACGTAGAATGATTGAAGAGGAATACGAGGTTATTGAATTCGATTCTTAAAATAATATGAATTAATATTGAGTTGGTACCCAAAATTGTTCGGTATCTCTCATTAATCATCACATGCACACTACACTATTGCCTATCTGGAGATTATCCTTTGAGTTACTTTCTTGTTTCGTTAATATTTAATTTAATGAGTGTTTTTTTAATTGAAATTTCAAATTAAACTTAAAATAATTTGGAAATTATGACTAAAATGATGATGTCCTCTCCTTCTACTCCCCATGTGAACTGTCCTCCTATGCTTTGTCCCCAACTCATACTCACATGGCTGTCTCTCTCTTTACTTTCTAAATATGATCGTCGTAAAATTAATAGCTTTTTTTTTTTATTCGAACTCGTTTGAGTTGAGTTGAATTAAAGAAATAAAAATTTTTGGTTCAATTCTCGGTTGTTTTTCATAAAATTATTATAAGTTGATTAAAACCAATTATTATTATTATTATATATATATATTTACGATATAATTATTTAATGAAACTATTTTGATGAAAAAAAATTATATCTCGAAGAATTAATTAGTTTAGAAAATACTATTTATATTCATTATTAATTATTTAATAAACTCGAATGATTAGGGACCAAAGATACATATATAATATACATTTAAATTTAAAGTCTTTGATACATAAACTAACATTTAATATTATTTAGTAATTTTTAAATTTTTGTTTATTTGATCATTAAAATTTTAAAATCTCAAGTGACATATTTAATTTTTTTTGAAAAATATAAAATTAAATTTTATATCTAATAAAATTTTAAAATTTTCAATTTTATATTTACCTTATAGAAGTAGAAAACAAACCACAAATAGCTAGGTTGATATGATTGGATAATCTAATTAACCAAAATTATTTAATCCTAAATCATAAAAAAATTCAATTTCCGGGTTCGGTACACACCGCCCATCACGCTATGGGAGCTGGCCATACTTGAAGACGTTACCTTAACTGTAAGGAGGGGGATGTCGAAGGCAGGGGTAGTGACTGGAGTGAAGTCGTAACAAGGTAGCCGTACTGGAAGGTGCGATTGAATCACCTCCTTTTCAGGGAGAGCTAATGTTTGTTGGGTATTTTGGTTTGACACTCGGGTTTAACCGAGGTGTGAATTTGAATAATTAAATTAGATTTTGTTAATCCCAAGGTAAGTAGGAATTATTATCCTAAGAACAACTCTATTATAGGTGGGAAGCATGTGCAGAGACTTTACAGATTAGAAGCCACAACAATATTTTTTTATAATTAAGAATATTTACCCAATTTTAGGCACTAACAAATATTTATTTTATTTTAATTTTGGGATCCCAATAATAATATAACAGTACAGTACGGGAAAGCAGCGATGTGAACCACACCGCAATTATTGCCACGTGGGAACACCAACCACCCAATTATGTGTTTTTCTTTATTAATTTTTTTTTAAAACTTTATTGTGTGGACATAATCATGTGAACGATACTTTTTATAGGAGAATTTATATTTTTATATTTTTATATACTCTTTATTAATCGATTTTCCACGTAGAATTAAAATATAGATTTTATTCCAATAATAGTCTTAAAATTTTAAAAATTACAAAAATACTCTTATCGTTAAATTTTTAATGAAAAATATTGAGATCGTTGGTTGAAGAGAAAACAAACATTGTTTATAAGGGTGTGGAAATCACTCCCTAGAAAACGCGTTTTTAAAACCTTTAATGGAAGTTTGAGAAGGAAAGCCCAAAAGGGAGTTACTAGCGGTGACTTTAGGACTTGAGAAAGCCTAAAGAAAACAATATCTTATAGCGTTAGGCTTGGGCTGTGTGAAAACTTTTCTATAATAGACTAATTTAAAAACCTCGAGGAAAAGTCTTAGGGTTATACCAGATGTTTCAAAACTCTTAAAATAGGTTAAAAAAAATATCCATTATTATTATTATTTTTTTTTTGAAAATTATAAATGAAAAAAAAGCTAAATTGTTGCAGGGCATTTTAAATTTAATAATTATTCTTGGGGTAACTAGATCGATGTCGAAATTTAATAAAGAAAAAGGATTGTTGGAGCCCAAGCTCAAGCCCAGACATAAGCCCAAACTGAAGCCCAAGTTTAAGCCCAAGTTCAGGCCCATGATTAAAAAGTCCAAGTATGTTAGTAAGCCTACAAACAACAGTAAGTGGAAGATCACTACCGATTTGGTCGAAACGTTACGATTACGCTTACGAGTGATCGTCTTCAACAATTTCAAAACGTCTCTCTGTGTTTCTCTTATGCCTTGGAGCTCCAATTCCCGATCCATTTTCAGACCCCTTCAATTCCAACCACAACCACAGTCATCCGATCCCACCTGAAGAAGCAAACTATGGCTGCCTATAGAACGGACGACGATTACGATTACCTCTTCAAAGTGGTTCTCATCGGTGACTCGGGTGTGGGCAAATCCAATCTCCTCTCCAGGTTTACGCGCAATGAGTTCAGTCTCGAGTCCAAATCCACAATCGGCGTCGAATTCGCCACGCGGAGTATTCGAGTCGATGATAAGATTGTCAAGGCTCAGATTTGGGACACCGCCGGTCAAGAAAGGTTCGTCGACTACTTCTTTAACTTCTATGACTCTTTTGGATTCTGACATTGTCTTACTGTGGATCCTGATCATTCTATTCGTGTCTGTTTATTGAGATCTAATATTATAACTTGAGATTTTGATGGTTCACTGAATTGTTGGGAATGACGGGGACGCGGGATTTATAGGGCTTTGGGTGTGTTCTTCTGTTCTTGGGGGATCTGAGAATTAAGTAGCTTTCAGATATTGGTTCTAAGAGATTGCTTGCTTGTTGAGATGGTGATCGCGTTATGTATCTGATGGAATTGGAGTTTCTGGGGATCAAACTCTTAGATTCCTTCAGTCCCGAGGAATTTGATACGAGTTTTAGAGTTGTGAATGAATTTTGATCGATTTTCTTAGAGTAGTCTGAATTCTCTCTTTAAGTAATAGTCTGGATCTGTCAAGAGAAGAGTACCCAACTATTCATGATGTGATTTTTGTATCTACTTACTGAATCCATAAGACCGTAATGAATCAGGCTTGTGCCAAAATGTAGTATGCAATATCTTTTGTGTAGATTTGGCATGGCTAGCAAAGCCGGATAGAGTGATACTGATAGAGATTTCATGATATGTTCACCTCAAAAGACCCTTGTGAAAAATAATATTATTTGGTGTCACTTGTTTCATTTGTTATGGTTTTCCATCAGGGCAAAGTATGAAACTATTGTGAATGATATCTTATAAGCTTCTTTTTGGCAGATACCGTGCAATCACAAGTGCATACTATCGAGGAGCCGTTGGTGCATTGCTTGTTTATGATGTAACACGACACGTGACGTTCGAAAACGTTGAGAGATGGTTGAAAGAACTCAGGGATCACACGGATTCCAATATTGTGATAATGCTAGTTGGTAACAAGGCAGACTTGCGACATCTGCGTGCTGTTTCGACTGAAGATGCCTCGGCCTTTGCAGAGAAGGAGAACACTTTCTTCATGGAGACATCTGCCCTCGAGTCTCTGAATGTCGAGAGTGCTTTTACCGAAGTGCTAACACAAATCTATCGTGTAGTTTGCAGAAAAGCACTCGAGATTGGGGAGGATGCCACAACATTGCCTAAAGGACAAACCATTAACGTTGGAAACAAGGATGATGTTTCTGCAGTGAAGAAAGTTGGTTGCTGCTCTTCATGATCATCAACTATTTGAATATGAGGTACATCATCAAAGGAGTGAATGGATGAATTCCTAATGCTGTCTTGAGTTTCCAATCCTGCTGGATTTGCTCGACCAAACATTTTAGTTTATGGTCATTTTGAGCTTCTGGGAGGGTTGGATTCATCATATTTGGAGTCTTTTGAAATTGACACTTCTTAATGTCAATTCCTTGTACTTCCTAGTCCGAGCTCACTCTCTTATATTGTTTTAAGTTTTGTAATGCCCCATAGTCTTGAATTGTATCAGATTTCTAGGTAGAGATATCTATTAAACTGAGGGTTGTATGTAGGTTAAATGTTCAGTTGTTAAATGGGAGCAGAATTTTTTAGTTTCTTCAGTTACATATTATGTTTAATTTTGTTTTTGTAATCCTCTTTTCCCAAAACCAAACCATCCTTGTTAGAGATTTGGCTAAATTGTAAAAAATATCACTGGAATTCGCCCCTTCGATCAAAAGTATATTTTCTTTTTCAAATTTTGTTACATTAGTTTTTGACCTTTCATGAACCTTCTATAAAATTTAAAGGGCCATGGCTATTTGAGAATGAAGCCACAATTCTCCGTTCGCAGATAAATAGAGACAATCCATAAAGATAGGATATAGATAACCATGAGCATCCTAACGAGCTAAAGTTACCAAGCAGAACATTTTATCCAAGAAATCTACTAAGACAATGACAAAATATGTAAAAGAACTTACTCCAGTGATGTTAATCTGCATCAACCTCTGTGAAATCCTGTATCCTCACTGAATGCTTAGACGTTTTGCGTAGTTCATCAATTTCAATCGGTAAGAACGGATCAGAAATGACTTTTTCAGGCTGCAACATCTTAGGACAGGCTACAAGGACAAAGAGGACAAGTGAGATGAGCAATCTAAAAACATTCTATGTCGTACATGTAATGTAGTAGATTTAAATACCAGCAACAGGGCATTGAGCTCGTGATCTCTTGGATTTTAGGTACTGCATTATGGCAACCTTTTCGTAGACGTGCTTGCATTCCGTACTGAAAATTGCAGAAAGTAGAGACAAAAAAGAGACTTAGTAGAAGTGTTCAAATGCACAATGGCCTGGCCGTACTGTCTATAACAACAGGCTATGGAAGTTAGCTTAAACATAAGCATTATATCATCGATCCAAAAATGAAAAATTAGAATCGTCCTCTTCAACCTGTGGTTGAACTCAAAGTAAAAAAAACCAAGAAAAAACAAGAAGGCCTATACATTCCATGTGAGTGAATCTTTTCCACAACCTAAAATGATTATTTGTTTTAAGGAACAAAAAACAATTTCGAAACTCGGCTCTGAAAAAGAAGAAGATCCAAGTGCTAGACTAGCTCATTCCATTTTTAAGGCATCCACTTGAAAAATGAAACTAGAGATAATAAAGCAAAAGCATGTAGCCATTCCCTTTCAACATCCATGCTGTTAGTGCATAGACAAGTATGTTAGGAATAACGACTCTCCACAATGGTATGATATTGTCTACTTTGAGCATAAGCTCTCATAGACTTGCTTTGCCTCGTACAAATGGAGATGTATTCTTTACTTATAAATCCATGATCATTCCCTCTAAATTAGCCAAACGTGAGACTCCCTCCCAACCATCCTAACAAAGCAGACTTCTTTTTCAATGCTAACAGAAATGGTTCCAATTCTTTATCCTTCATGAAAATATGTTTAGTTGTAACATACCTTCTAACAGGTTCTGCCAATTCAGTGACAGGCTTTCCACTCAACGGGCAAGTGACATTCAATAGATTACACTGAGTACTGGTCATCACAACGTCCTCCTGCTCCTCACCAGGCATTGGTTGTCCTGCGTGATGAACATTCTGCCGGAATATTGGGAGATAAGTTAAAGCATTGGAAAGAATAATGCAATTGGAAGAACAAAAAGATGGTTTCCAATCATTTATGAATTGCAAACAGGTAAAGTAGTCTCTCTTGCTTACTTCTCATATACTTTTGTTGGGAACTTTCACAGTATTAGTATAATTATTTGCACAGATTTGAGAACTTTCTTGTTGCTGCCATGCATAATCAGTTCTAAAGCCCGACTAGTAGAAAGTCATAGAAGTGAACTAACGCATTCCAAAATTTCCTAGTGCATATTAAAGAAGAGATGCATACCCAAATAGCTTCTCTAAACTGTCGAATTATTGAATGGTTCTGCAAATTTGAAGACGAATTTTCGCTGACTTTTGCAACTTCATTGTCAAGTAGTTTCTCAAAATCAGTTAACTACATGATCAACATAGAATATTATGTACGGAGGAAGGAACCATCACAATGAAACTTAACAAAAAAAAAAAGAAAAAGAGTGTAGTGGAAAATGCAGTCAAGCACCTCTTCTTGTGGTTCATATATATTTCCAACTGACTGAATTGCAGATGAAAAGTTGCTACATTTTTCATAAGTACTCAACAGCTCAACAACAGAATTTTCAAGCTCCTTGACCTAAAATAATGTTCAAATACCAAGTAAATCATTAGTTAAGAGTTCCAAACAACAATGATCCTCAATCATCTTTAGATTGTATGTAATTGACAGAAGCAGAAAATCCACCAAAAGTATATGTGGTTGCTTCAATATCTTATCCTAACAACATTCTCTTCCAAAATAACAAATTACAATAATTTCTGATGTTCGAAATTAAGGTCAATAGTTCATAATACCATCCTCGACTGATTGTCCCTCTCCAAATCCACCCCGATTTCCTTCATCATGATCAGCGACTTCCGTAATTCCTGAAATTAAGACAGTAAAATCCAATCACAGAAATAAACAGATAACCATCATCATTCATCTAATTCCTAACAAAACATACTTTTCAACCTAATAATCTCAATCACTCCTCAAATTTAATTCACCATTCTTATCTCGTCTTCTCGGACCACGAACTGAACAAAACGGGTTGGGCGGGGGGATTTTCCATTAAAAGAATACACAAGATCATCTTCCAATAGTTTTTCCAGCTTTCAGAAATCAAGAAAACACAGTTCACAGAGCAAAGTGAAGGAAATACAGCGTTAGAACTGACGCTCTATATAGGAAATCGAGATCTTAAAGCTAAAAACAATATATATTTAGCAACGGCAACTTCATTTCCATGGAAATTAGAAAATTTAATCTGTCGATCGGAAAAGCACAAACAGTAGAACAAAAAGAAGAACAAATTGAAAGCAGACAAAGAAGAAAGAGAATAGTATTAAGAAAGTTACGGCAAGGAGGGATTGATTCTCAGAGTTCATAATAGTGGCAGCGGATTTGATTCTTTCGGAAACGCCAGTTGAATTGGAATTGGAATTGGAAGTGGACGCCATTCCGTTGAAGAAGAGATTACCGAAAGTAAAACCCCTCCGGCGATGGTTTGGTTTAAGCGCCAAAAGCTAATCCCCGCTTCGCCAAAAATAAATAAATAAATAAAGGGTTCAAATTTTTAGAAATCAATTTAGAAAAAAAAAAAAAAAAAAATAGAGGTAGCAAAAACAACCATTTTGGTTGGGACAACTAGTCATATCCCAAGAGTGCATTTTAGTCTTACAGACATGATTTTGATAAACGGTCGTAGACTTTTATATTTACCTAATAAGAAATAGTAAAAGTCTATCTAATATGAAAATTAATTAAAAAAAAAAGTTTAGAATAGATATACGGCCATGGACAACATGTCTTGAACAAACATGGTTAAGACATCTGACATGCAGTCACAATCAACATACCTTAGTAAGATGATTCGGACACTCCGTCAAGCTCAAACTTACTTTTTGTGTTAAAATTAAAGATTTGAAAACAATAAAACATTAATTCGGTCTCTTTGTCCTTCTCATTCCTATTCCTATATTATTTTCTTGAAATTATTAAATGCAAAATATATGATGTGAAAAATATTTTCAAAATTTATTTAAATTTTGTAATTTGTTAATTTAATCATTAATTAAAAAAAGTATAAACTCACTAAAATAAAAAAAATATAAAAAATTATTGGATTAGTTTAAAACTAAAATAATTAACGAAATATTTTGAATTTTGTAGTATAATTATATTTTATATTTCATTGAAATCATATAAAAATAAATAAAAGAAAAGAAAAGTTAAGGTAAAGATGAAAAAATGTGGTTTTTTGGTTATAAAAATTTGTTAAATGAAAAAATAGAAAAAAAAACAAACTAATTAAATAAATAAAAAAAAGGAAAATGCAAATGTAAATGGGAACTGTGGATTTATTTGGAAAAAAGAAACAGAAATTAACTGGAAATGATCCATTAATAAATAATAAAATAAAATAAAAATGGTAAAAAAAACAGATTTAAATACCAATGGAAGATGAATCAAGCTTCAACACACTGATTTGGAATCCAAGAAGAAGAAGAAGAAGAAGAAGAAGAAGATGAAGATGAATCCATTCAATTCCATGCTTCCATTGTTTCTCCTAAGCGTCTTCGCCCCCTTCTCTCCGGCGAAACCAGACGCCGCCCTCATCCGAAACCTCTGCGGCAGAACCGAGCAGCCGGTGATTTGTTCTGCTTGCCTCAATTCCGACTCCGCCAGCCGGACTGCCAATGGGCGTGGACTCGCAGTCATCGCCGTCGGATGTGCGGAGAGGAATACCAGAGCAATGGCCCAGAGGATCGGCGACATTTCCCGTAGAACGCCGAATTCCCCTGTGAAGACGCTGTTGAACGATTGCTGGTTTTCCACAGGGTATGCCGCCGGCAATTTTCCAGGAATCAGAAGTGCGGTCGAAGAAGGAGATTATGCCCGTGCCAGAAATGGTGTGGAGATTTCGATTAGGAATGTCAATAGCTGCTTGGCTGGGTTCGATAAAAACCCTTCAGTCCCGGTGCCGTCGGAGGTTTTGGCGGGGACGGTGGCGGCCGTCCAGAGCTGCCGGATTGTTTTGGGGATATTGAATAACATTTAATATTTCTTGTATTTTTAAATATTTAAATTTCTCATTGCCACTAGATATAGTCGATTTAGCTCAAGAAATCACTATTATAAAATGTATTTAATATTGAGATATTTCCACACTTCATATTTTGTTCTCACCCCTTTGAAAGTTATCGTTCTCATTGACACACGGCTCAGAATCTAGCTCATATACCATTTGTAACAACCTGAACCCATTGTGAGCACGTATTGTTTCCTTTGGTATTGTCGTCAACCTCATGATTTTAGAACACGTCTACTAGGGAGAGTTTTCCACACTCTTATAAAAAAATGTTTCATTCTCTTTCTCCAATCAATAAGAGGTTTCACAATTCACCTTATTAGGGTGTGTTAGTGAAGACGCTGGTCCTGAATAGCTTTAAAACGAAAGGACTAAATTTAAAA